TATAATATATATAATAAGAAGTTACTAGTAATTATAGATATAGTATATAAATAGAAGGTCTACTTTAAAAGCGCTACTTATAAGGTATAGATCCTAATAGACTATAAGAATCTTATTTACTTTATAACTACTAAGGAACTAAACTAATAGCAGGTTTATTAGTATAAAATACTCTCTACTATTAAGCTTCGAATTTCTTATATTAAGGGAACAGAAAATACTTAAGCTAACGCTTTAAGCTAGAAACTAAAGTACCTTATAAATAAAACCTATAAATCTTATACTATACTATAGAAAGATAGCGATTTATTAGTTATTAATAGCTGATAGCTAGCTATAATAGAATAGCTAGTCGCAGAGAAAATCTAGAAAAGCTATATTAATAACCTAGTTATAGCTAAATAGTAATACTAACTAAGTGAAAAGTTCTTCTTCTCTCTAGAAGGAACTCTCTTATTCTAGGGACGAATCTATATACTTACTAAAGATAGAATAAAATTTATTACGTACTAATATAAGTTACCCGCTTATAGATACTAGAGGGTAGCTAAGATACTATCTAAGCTATCTAAGGAATACTACTTCCTAGGTATAAGGAAAGTAGTTAAAGATATAGTAATATTATACGATATATATATCCGGAATAAGGCTATATACTATACTCTATATAGACTTATAAAGTCACTAATAACACTACCTTACCTATAAAAATTAATCGCTTTAGATTTTATAATCGAGCTACTACTCTTAAAAGATCTAATTATAGAAATCATATACGATTCAATCTATATAATAACAAATAGGTTTATAAAGTATATATATATAGTACTAATACTTAAGATATAGGACGCGCCTATAATAGCGCAGGTATTTCTTAGGATAATCTTTATAAGCTATAGAATACTAGATAAGATTATCTTAGATAAAGATAAGCTCTTTATTTTAAAGTTCTAGAAAACTCTTATTACGCTCTTAAGGATAAAACAGAAAATATTAACTGTATTCTACTTATAGACTAATATATAAATAGAATAAATTAACTAGATAATAGAGACTTATCTTTAGTATTATATAAACTATAAATAGAATAACTAAGTGCAGTTATTCCTACTTACTTAGTTTATATATAATAGCGCGGATTAAGAGACTATTAGAGTATTACTATTCTATGTAAATTATAAGTATAATCCTATGGTATATAATCTACTAATAACCGGTTAGGGGACTACGTAGGAAGCTATACTATAAGCAGATAAGCTTAAGTAGTTTTATAAAGAATTATTAGCTAATATTCTCTTTATTATATAAAGATCTATAATTTACTATAATAGAAAGCGTAGTATAGAACTAACGCTTAAGGAGGGAGATAAAGTCTACTTACTTAGAAAGAATATTATAACTAAATAACTAAGTTATAAATTAGATTATAAGAAGCTAGAACTATTTAGGATTACTAAAGTCAAGGGACTAGTTAATTATTAACTAGCTTTACTAAAGATAATAAATATCTACCCGGTATTCTATATATCTCTCCTCGAATTAGTACTACTAAGAGCACTACTAGCTCTTATTACTAAAATATAACTGATTAATCCGAACGCTAAATATAAGATAAAGGTTATTCTCGACTATTAGTATTTCTATAGTAAACTAAAATATTTAATTAAATAGAAAAGGTACTTATAATCAGAAAACACTTAGAAACCTAAATTTAACCTCCGCTACCTTAAGCTTTTATAAGGATTCTATTAAAGAAATCTAGGTTTACTTAGAAAGAAGGGGACCTAAGGTTAAGGGCTAGGCCTTTAAAGAAGGATACTAAGTAAGTATTAGGTTTAAAAGTAAGGAACTAAGAAGTAGGATTATCTTTAATAAGCTTAGAGGGAGGTATTAGAGAGTAAGTAAGAGTCACGGTTTTTCCTATCTTAAACTAATATATAAGTTATTTAAGAGTAAACCTCTTAATATACCCTAAGGTATTATAATCGTAACGCTTTAAGCGAATACACTTAGAGTATTATTTCGAAATAGATAAATCTAAGAAGTAAGTATAGGAAAAGCTATAGTAGAAGAAGTAAGGCTTTATAAGTTACGTAGTATACTTAATATAAAGCGCGAGCTAGATACTCTGTTTTTTCTTTATCTAAGTAATACTCGATTTCTTTATAATACTAGATATAATAGATAAGGAAGATAGTTGTTAGTAACTATTAATATTTCTTAAGGTTATACTTAAGCGTAAGGACTACGCTAAGCTAAGAGAGGGATAGTATTATAAACCCCTTAGCGCTACAGTTCAGTTAGTACCTATATAATAATAAAACTATTAGTAGTACTATAAGGGTATTAGTACTAACAAGGGAGTAGTACTATCGATAGGGTAGTACTAGCTAGGGAATAATACAAGTCAATTAAGTAGTACTACTATATACTTACACTTCAGTAGTAATAGTTACCTAGATTATAGTAGATAATAAGTCACGTGATAGATCCCTAGATCCCTGGATCCCCTTATAAGAAAACAGATCTAAGGATCTAAGGATTTAGTATCCTAAGGGATCTAAGGTAAATAAAAGTTCTATATAAGACTAGCACGTCTACTATTAGATAAGAGCTTTATACTTAACTTTAAATAGTATTCTAATACTTAGTAACTATCTTCCTATCTATATAATATACCTACCTCTTAATTATCAGAGATTAACCGTAGCCTTCTATATTTACAGCGAGTAAATACCGGACTATTATAATACCTCTTAACTTAATCATAGTATCTGCTAACGTCTCTACAGCTTCCTTAATAGATTTATAAGTAACTCTAACGCCTAGCTCGTTCGTTACCTTCTTTATCACACTACCTATTCGCTTACTATTAAGGTACCACCGAATCTTAAAGTTTACAGCCTATATTTCAATCTACAGAGGTATAGGAGACCGTATAATAAGAGGTTCTAGCAGGGGGAGAGCTTACGGAATCGATAAAAGCTCAGAAAGTAGAGGGGGGGGTAGCGATAGAAGCTCTACTAATCCTACAGCTAGCACAACTACTCCTATACTTAAATTAGGTATAAAAGCTGAAGTACTAACAGTAGAACCGACAGAAGAACTACTAGCTTAACTCGTACTAAGTTTAAAGGTTATTTTAAGTGCTACCGGTAGTAGGGGAAGTAGAGTGTATAGAGCCTTCTTTTTAGAAGGTTTCCCTTAACTATTTCGAGCTTTCTTTAGAGGCATATTCAAGAATATCAAGTAGAAACAGAGAGGGGAGTTTAAGAGCTTCAAAATAACCTAATTTAGAGGCAAATCGATAGAGATTTGATAGAGTTATGAAGGTTACAATTCTAGGTCATTATCTTTTAGTGGGGTCTATAGCAAAAGTCAGTGAGTCGGCGTTATTTACCGAAGAATCACGCTAAACTGAAGAATAGCTATAAGCGAGTGACAACAAATGAGACAGGATCTGGCACAAACTGCCATAACATGAGTGAGAGTTACACGGCAGTCCTGCGGTAGAAGAGCCGACGACTAAAAGTGGTCTTGCATGGGGTAGTGTCACGGATAACTCCGTTGAACTCCTTTCTATTCACAGCTACACTCTGCTCTAACTCATGCTTGTTCTTGAACTGAGTGCGACATTATGCACCCTCAAACTGCTTTTCTTGCTCATATATAATAGACAATTACTCAGCACTTGAAACAAGCCTTGGGCAGTAATAATTCTATCTTAGATGCCGGTCTTGTTCCGAACTCCATACACTCGGCCGGACATACAGATCTTTCCAAGTAGAGCATAAGAAGACAGCAAGTAAACAAAAGAATATAGAATAGAGTCAAGTTAGCCTGAACTACACGCGAGGTGTCTTGAGTTCTAAGAAGGCGAGGAAGGCTGGAAATTAACTGGAATGCAGCAACATTCATCACACCTATCGGCGCTTCTCGGTGGTTTTCGTACTTGAATGAAGCGACGATCGACAACTCCAAGTCCCAAGTGTCACAACCATATAATCACCACCTTCGATCGTGCTTCTTGGCTCCAGCTGGAATGAAACGCGGTAGACCTTCCAAGCAACATACTCTGTTTCCCCAGCCTCATCAAAATACCATTTATGAACTATTTCGGAGAATCCCAACCTATACCGGAATTCGCGCAAGGACTAATTAGCACTTCTACTATGCAGCCTAGCGACGGCATTGTCGAGGCGGATTTTGGTAATACAGTAAGCATGCTAAGAAGAACGGACTTGAAAGCATAAACAGAACTAGGAAAAGACAGAAATCTTTAACGGAAGAAGATTTTAACTGTAGGGTATCTATCTTTGTTTTGGTAATCAAGGGACGCTTGTCGGCCTTGTCCATTATGGTAAGACATCAAGCTCTGCGCAAGCATGGTTTTCAACCAAGCGTTTCTGCTCACCAGTAGCTACTCACAACTTCAAGCATTCGACACGCCAGGCACAGCGACTAGATATATCTTTTCTCGTTAGTGGACTCCCCCACCTTCCCAATAGAGATATCCGGCGTTTAAATCAGAGAGCATCGGAGCTCGGAGTTGAAGAAGCAGCAGAGATCCAGCGATGCAGGCGACGTTGATTCCATAGTGTCGCAGGAATACTGGCGTAGCCTCATGAGTTTGATAAATGAACCCTGAAAAAAATTGTAAAATGTTCATGTTGATTCGTTCGTGAGACTGAGATGTTGCAATAGGAGGGGAAACAGTGGACCGTGCGGGCGTTCCTTCCGCTTAGAAACGGGGCCCAAAAGAGAAGGAGGGCAGGGCGTTGGTCAAACAGCCTGACTACCCCGCCAACTCCGAGCTCATGTTTGTCTTCAGATCTTCCTTGAAGGTTTCCACCAACAAATTTGCATTCAGAAGCTGTGTGACACAGTCCCAAATACCCCTCCAACATACGAAATCCGCGAAGCCTTTCCGTTCTTTACAGAACCAAGCAAAAGCTCGGAGCTACCTTACAGACACCATCAGATCACATCAAGCCCAGAAAATGGCTCCTCAATTAGACGGCTTCTTCAAGCAGGTCGATGACCTCTCCGACCACTTCATTGAGCGTCTCCGAAAGGCCGTCGCCATCCCTTCTGTCTCCGCAGATGAAGAGCGCCGTCCAGATGTCGTTCGAATGGGACAATTCCTCGCAGACGAGCTCAAAGCTCTTGGTGCTGAGGTAGAGCAACGACCACTCGGCCCACAGCCAGGAAAGGAACATTTGGAGCTACCACCTGTTGTTATCGCCCGATATGGAAATGACAAGAAGAAGAGAACTATTTTGGTATATGGTCACTACGATGTCCAGCCTGCTGGAAAGGAAGACGGATGGGCGACAGAGCCGTTCGAGCTCACCGTGGATGACAAGGGACGCATGTATGGTAGAGGTAGCACAGATGATAAGGGACCAGTTTTGGGATGGTTGAATGCTATTGAGGCTCATCAGAAGGCCGGTGTGGACTTCCCAGTCAACCTGTTGATGTGCTTTGAGGGTATGGAGGAATACGGCTCCGAGGGCTTGGACGACTTCATCAACGCAGAGGCAAAGAAGTACTTTGCTGACGCTGATGCGGTTTGCATATCAGATAACTACTGGTTGGGAACGGAGAAGCCTTGTTTGACATACGGTCTCCGTGGCTGCAGTTACTACTCGGTTGAGATCTCGGGACCAGGACAAGATCTCCACAGTGGTGTATTTGGTGGAACTGCTCAAGAGCCAATGACAGATTTGGTACGAGTGCTTGGAAGTCTTGTTGATACCAACGGCAAGATCCAGATTCCGGGTCTGGCTGAGCTCGTTGCCCCTCTCACCGAGGAAGAGCAGTCACTATATGGAAACATTGCATTTACCATGGATAACCTGTACGAATCTCTTGGTAGCCAAACATCAATCCACCCAGATAAGGAGAAGACTCTCATGGCCCGTTGGAGATACCCATCTCTCTCCGTTCACGGCATTGAGGGAGCATTCTCACAACCAGGTGCCAAGACCGTCATCCCAGCCAAGGTTATTGGAAAATTCTCTATTCGAACAGTTCCAAACATGGAGCCAGAGGATGTCGACCGTCTGGTCTTCAAGTACGTCGATGAGCAATTTAAGAAGTTGGGCAGCAAGAACACAATCAACACTACCTTGCAACACGCAGGAAAATGGTGGGTGGCTAGCCCCAAGCACTGGAACTTCAGTGCGGCCGGAAAGGCAGTTGAGAGAGTCTGGGGTGTCAAGCCCGATTTGACCAGAGAGGGTGGAAGGTAAGCCAACCCACCTATGTTTAGAGTAGACTGAAACTGTAATACTGACATTCGATTAGTATCCCCGTAACACTTACTTTCGAGCAAGCCACTGGCAAGAACGTCCTGCTGCTGCCAATGGGTAGCTCAACAGACGCCGCTCACTCCATCAACGAGAAGCTTGACAAGCGAAACTACATCGAAGGTATCAAGCTTCTGGGTGCCTATCTCCACTATGTTGCCGAGGAGGAAATGATCAACTAAGGAATTGGAAATCAAGTTGACGTTCCAAATGTGGTTGGTCATGCTGTATGGTTTGCTTAGCTAGCACGTAGCCGCACCATAATTGAATGAAAATACCCGCTTCTACCTTGCTTGATGATACGGCGGGCAGATAGTCAATTTAAGAACCTCATTGTCTGGTGGATTTCGCTTTATACCATTGATGTTCTCATTGTCACATTCGATCAAGACATGCATCCAGTCATAATTTATCATTTCCAGTCATCGACATAGTTCCATGTCCGCCATCTATCTATGGTACGCGTTACACACTGAGTAGGTGCATGAAGACTGCGCACTTACTCTCGCTCTACTTTTGTTTATCATCATCATGATCGTCATCAACGCCTGCAAATCTACCACCATGACCATACCGGATCAGATACGACAGTCCTTACTGTCGTTGGAAGAAGTACACGTAAGCGAATTTCTTCATCTCCTCCACATCGGTTGCCTTAACAACCTTCTCATCGTTGAAGAGGACCCATTGGGGAGTGCTCTCTCCGGCAAGGAGTTTGCGGACGAAAGCTACGTAGTGACTATACCGTCTGTTAATTTTGTATGCCTTTGAGAATATTGAAGGTGATATGAAAAAGAATAGGAGCTGAACTTACCCAGAATGAACACTAGAGCCCTTGTGACAGATGATAGAGTGGAGTTGGAAGCTAGCTGGCAAATGGCTGCTTCCGGCTTCTTTCTTAGGAGCGGCTTCAGCTGCAGGAGCAGCGTCCTCAAATTCGCCTTGGTCATCTGGGTGACTGAATAACCATTCAACGGCGCGCTCCATGTCACCTCCAGTCTCCTTCAATGCCTTGCGTGCCTGTGGTGGACCGAAGCCCATTGCGCTGAGCATCTCAATCTTCTCTGGATCAGCAGCGGCTGGAGCGCTACCACTGTCGGCAAGAACTAAAGGAGCATCGATGTCAGGGTCTTCCATGTGGCCGAAAAGCCATTCCATGGCAGTATTTGCATCGGTGTTTCCTGTCGCATGGAGAGCCTTGACACACCGGTTGCGAGGAAATCCCATGCCTTCGAGAGCTTGAACGGCGTCCTCGTTTGGTACGAATGATGGCTGTTTGCTTTCACTAGCATCTTCTGGTAGAAGTTCTTCGGAATCCTGGACGCCTAGGGACTTGTAGTCGTCCAAGCTGAATGGTTCGTCCCCAACGATGACTGGTAGGTTGAGCTTGGTTGGAACCCAGTTGACAAGAGCGAATCTTCGAGCATTGATGGCAAGGACATCCGGGAATGTCTTGAAGAGAGATCGCTTTGAGAATCCGTCCTTGCTGCCGCAAGATGAGCAAGTGAGCTCGACCATCTCCTCGGACGTAAAGATGTCCAGACACTCCTTGAGAGTTACCGGTTCATACTCATCGTTCTTCTCCTCGGTAGAATCTCCACTAGTCGCAGCCTCGATTTTTCTGACGGGTACTGGGACAGAAATGTTGTCTTGCTCGTCAGTTCGGTAGCGAACCTTCTTACAACCCAAGCACTGTAGGCGTTGTTCCATCACAAAGCGGAATGCTTCAGTTGGATCTTGAAGGGGTGCCCTGTGTTGAGAGCGTGTGATAAACTTAAAGAGATGAAGCAGTAGCTCGAAAGCATCTTGCTGTCTCATCGTAGAGAATTCTGGATGACCTTTTCCGATGAGGACCTTGAGCATTGCAGGAGCCAATCCTTTCTGATAGGCCAGTTTATCGTCTTCAGTGCGAACATCTGGATCTGGGTGAGAATAACGACCAGAAAGTAAACCGTCGCCAATCTTTCTAAGTTGAGTCTCTAGATCCTGGGCAGGATCGTCAACGATGGGCAAGTCTGCCGATGGGAGGTAATATCTCGACTGGAACTGAGGCAGAGCGAACAAGCATTGGAGACTGCTAGCAAGATAACAACTGTTACCCAAATTCTTCAAGCCAGTGAGGTCCTCGCCGAACAGCTTTTGAAGCTCATTGCCGGCCTCATCAGTCATGGAGAACTCATACCGCAGATTCTCATCCACTTGCATCTCCGTCAAGCTTTTCTCGGTCTTCTCACGCTCAGCAAGAATGATTCCCCAGTGAGCGAGATGAGAGCCAAGATCGTTGTCAACTCGTTCCTCATCACAAGTATAGCAGTAGACGTCCGCAGTTCCCTCGGGGGTAATGGATCCCAGCTTGACAGCCACTCCATGTCCAGAAGAGGTGCTGTGCTCTAAACCATGAGAATGTCCTTGCATTCCTCCGAACTGAGCACGGCCACAACCGAGATTTCCGCATTCTAGACAAAGCCAAAGGTTCTCCTTCAAATCGCACAGGGAGCAGTGACCGAGATCTTGTGACTGGATCTTCTTTGAAGGATGTTGCTGAAGCGTAAGAATATGCTCGCAAGAAGTCATCTCCAACTCCCAAGCCTTAACCTCCTCGTGTCGGGAGAATGTATTTGCCTTGAGAATTCCCGCAATGACTGCCGCAAGCTTCCCTTCCGACTTGTCTACATTATCGATATTGCAAGCGTAGCACTTGACTGTGGTTTCGAAGTCGTATTTATCCGCCTCAGTCTCAGCAGCAATCGACAGCTTGGACATCTTCTGTGGGGGTTCATCTCGGACTATCACTTTTCGAGTTCGCTTGATGTTGAGGACTAAGGGATGCGACTTGAGGACGTGGTGGAGGGCGGCATGCTTTCTGTCTCCGGTGCAGCCTCCGTTAAAGCAGTACAGGCACACATCAAGGCCAGTCGTATCGTCCTGTATCTTGATGTCAGACAGATAGTTACTTGTGGTCACCAGGGCAGCGTTGGTAGGAGGCAGCCTAAGAAGGGAATATGGCAGTGGCAACGGAATGCTTACAATCGAGTCAAAGCACTGTGTACAGTCTTCCCGATATACCGACTGGCTCACACCAGGTGGGCGCAGCTCTGAGGAGAATGTCAGTATTTATCTCTTAGGGAGGCTTGTAATTCTGCAAACAGATGGCTTGACCAAGAACTATGGCGGGGTGGCCGTGGAAAGAATCACAGCAAGCTTAATGGTAGATCTGGATCTGCTCAACGGAGCAAGAGACTCTGCGAAGAGGTAACATGACAAGGAGGCTTACCTGCTGCACTGACGTGGGTGCAGGACATTTCTGGTTTTGCTGTTCACAGTTTAACTTTGGTGTTGACAAGCTCGAAAGTGAGTTTTGCAGAGAGCCCTGGAGAGGGACCTGGGAAGCTCGAAGGCGGGGCAGGCAAGGCAAAGCGACAGGGATGGGCCCTTGCAGCAATCTTCAGAGGCAAAGGAAAATAGGTTCCCTTCAAAGGTCACAGACGGCCATGCGTCATCAAAGATTGGCGAGAGAATATGACTATTCAATCAAGTAGATAAATCCATCACAATTCATCTTCAGAACCTCACGCTCTGGAAAGCACCGAGGAGGAGATTGTCTTTCATTACGCACCAGTACCGTACCCAGGTTACTTATACCTAGTAATTCGAATCCGCGGTCTCACGTGTACACGCTTCGAAGAATTCGCCGCACTATCTCCGATTCCGCCAACCACGGGCCCGAGATCCATCTGATTACCTAGCGAACTCAACCGTCATACAATAAAGAGCTTCTCCACTTCGTGCACAGGGACGTCCTCCCGAAGATCCTCAACTTTTCTCATCAACGACACCCTCCTATCCTACAGCAAACCCGCCACCTTGATACCCCAGATCAACACTTCAATTCCATCAAACCTGTCACTTCATCTCCAGACGAAAAGTTCTAATCGCAAACATGTTTCGAAGAGTCTTGACGACATCTGCTCGGTCGACGGGCAGAGCGCTATCGGCCAGACCCGCCACCCGACTCACAGCTCCTCGAGTCACATCTCCCATCGCGGTCGCAGGCCGACGACAGTATCACGAGAAGGTTCTCGATCACTATTCTCGCCCACGTAATGTTGGAAGCATGCCCAAGGCGGACACCGATGTGGGAACTGGTCTCGTTGGCGCACCGGCGTGCGGAGATGTGATGAAGCTTCAGATCAGAGTCGACCCAACCAACAACACCATCTCGGATGTTAAGTTCAAGACTTTCGGTTGTGGTTCGGCGATTGCCTCCTCATCATACTTGACTGAGCTGGTACGAGGGATGACTCTGGAGGAAGCTGGTCGGGTACGGAATACGGAGATCGCAAAGGAGCTCTGCTTACCCCCTGTCAAACGTAAGTTTACAACCATCCATGCCAGTACTGAGCGTCACCTAATTGAAAACAGTACATTGTTCCATGCTTGCTGAAGATGCCATCAAATCCGCCATTACAAACTACTACTCGAAGAACCCGAATGCTCGCTCAACAGACTTGGGAGGCACTGGCTCCAGTATGCCCAAGATTGATGTTGAGACAGTGATGGAGCCTGCAGCATCTCAGACTGCTACCGCGTAAGCTTGTGGGATTTTGTAATTGAAAGGCGTTGGGGTTTGGGCAGTGTTATTCAGTGTCAAGAATGACTGTGGCAATTTCACAGCGAGGATGCAAGGTGCTTGCCACATTTCAAGCACACAAGGACTTGATGAGGATGAGCAAAGCTTTCTCTAAAAAACAATGGGGTTGGGATATGCTGGATCAAATGCTCAGCGATGTCTTAGGGGAATTGGACTTCACAACTTGTACAAAATCTTCCTTTCTGAATAGGGAGAAAGTAATACCCAGCGAAGAATGAACCAAATAAACAAGCATTACATCTCAAGATAATATTATCCCCGGATTGGTATTGATACCTTGCCTACAAGTTTAAGTCCATAATGAAGAAATTGGTCACTGAAATTTAGCGGGGTGGCGCTAACAAATCCTCGGCAGTCTTATCGAGACTTTTTTTTCTATCGGAAATTTTGGTGGTACGATTGCCTATCTGTTCGATTTCTATGAACATTTACCAGAACAATCGCGAAAATTTCACAGCAAAGATGGGAAAACGAACTTTGGAAGATGCGGGTTTACCAAATGGAGGACCAGTGCAAGAAAGTGCACCAGCATCCAAGAAAAGCCGGAAGGAAAGCAAAAAGCTTGCGACAGAAGAGCCCAGCACCAATGACACAAGCTCTGCAGAGGTCGATATCGATGCAGAGAAAGCTGCTAAGAAAGAGAAGAAGCGCTTAAAGAAACTCAAGAAGCTGGCAAAGGCTGCAAAATTGGAGACACCTGCGGATTCTGAGGATACTAAGGAGGAAGAGGCGGTCGAGGAAGCGGTAGTCGAGGAGGAAGTCGTCGATGAGAAGGCCGCGAAGAAGGCAGAGAAAGCCAGGTTAAAGGCGCTGAAGAAGGCGAAAAAGTCTTCAACAGAAGATACCCCAGAGATCATGACGCCAGTCTCAGAACCCGAAATAAAGACCAAAACCTCGACACCCTCAAGTACCAACATCACCTCAGACAATGGATATACAGAGGCTCCAGGCCTATCAGCCCTACCCCAATCCGAAGTCGACAAATTCCTCACCGATAACTTCATCGCAATCACTGATCCTCTACCATCCTTCGCAAAACTCAGACCATTGACCAACTTCGATTTCCTCCCTATCACCGACCCCGCGCAAAGAGCCCCCTTCAAGAACTTCAAGGCGCCAACACCCATACAAGCCGCAGCATGGCCATTCTTACTTTCTGGCCGGGATGTCATTGGAGTGGCAGAGACAGGTTCAGGAAAGACAATGGCGTTCGCAGTTCCCTGCGTACGCGGAATACTGTCTCTTCCTGCAAGCCAGAGAAATAAAGGGCCCAGAGCAGTCATTGTTTCTCCTACCCGAGAATTGGCAATGCAGAGCTATGATCAGATCATGGAGCTTACTAAGGTCTCAGGCCTGAAAGCAGTTTGTGTGTATGGTGGTGTTCCCAAGGATCAACAGCGTCAAGCATTGAAGACTGCCGATATCGTCGTCGCTACACCAGGTCGCCTGAACGATCTCATTAACGAAGGATGTGCGGATCTTAGCAAGGCGAAATACGTTGTGCTTGATGAAGCAGACCGTATGCTAGACAAGGGATTTGAAGAGGAGATCCGCAAGATCATCAATACCACACCAGCTCTCGGCAAGCGCCAAACTCTCATGTTCACAGCTACATGGCCCGAATCTGTCCGCACGCTCGCAGCCACGTTCATGACCAGTCCAGTCAAGATCGCTATTGGAGACAGCCCAACTGGAGATCTCCGCGCAAATACTCGTATTGTGCAGAAAGTTGAGGTGGTGGATGGAAGACAGAAGGAATATCGCTTACTGCAACTTCTCAAGCAATATCAAAGCGGTTCGCAAAAAGATGATCGCATTCTTGTCTTTGCGCTTTACAAGAAGGAGGCGACGAGACTTGAGATGTTTATCAAAGGGAAGGGTTTCAGAGTTGCTGGTATTCATGGTGATCTCAGCCAGGAGCAGCGCACGAGGAGTCTGGATGCTTTCAAGAAAGGCACCACACCCATCTTAGTCGCCACCGATGTAGCTGCACGAGGATTGGATATTCCAGCTGTACAGCTTGTCATCAACGTAACATTCCCATTGACCGTAGAGGCACGTTATCTTTTTCTGAGAGAATTTTACGTTCATAGGGCTGACTGAGTGTCTAGGATTATGTTCATCGCATTGGTCGAACTGGCCGTGCTGGCATGGACGGTCTCGCCATCACCCTCTTCACTGAGCACGACAAAGCTCTTTCTGGATCGTAAGACTACAAATGACCTTACAATGAATCAACACTTACCATTTTTTAGATTAATTAATGTTCTGAAAGCAGCCAACCAAGAGGTGCCAGACGACCTCCTCAAGTTCGGCACAACAGTTAAGCGAAAGGAGCACGAAGCATACGGCGCATTCGCAAAAGATGTAGACATGACCAAGAAGGCCAAGAAGATTACATTCGACTAGACTAAATTGTGCTCTAAATCTAGATCGGAATTTCAATATTTTCATCTCATTTTTCCCTGGCCGCGAAATACTCGGTAGTATTCTTGAAGATATTCTCGTTCGGAAATGGCGCTGTTTGGTTTAGTGTGGGTTAGCAAAAGTCATTTTCAAGGCAAAAGAAATTTTTACGCTATGCTATACATGTAGAGATGCGTAATGAAAGACTACTTACAGTATAATGACGAATGGTGCAGCGACTGCTCCACTTTTTATAATGTCTATCAGACCGCCGGTGAACTTGGATTCTAGTTGTGCGAGGACGGCAAACGTCCCAGCACCTGCAGCGATCGTGAGTGGTTTTGGAAGGACTTGGCCGGGCTCAAGACTGGTGTTGTAACGCTTGAGGTAAGCTTGTATGAAAGCTGTACTCCAGACAATACGGAAGAGCATATTCAGCGCATTTGCCCACACCAACCCTTCAGCTCCCATCTGCAAAACTCGCAAGAATACAAATGTAGCGCCTGCAAACCCAGCAGAGAATGCTAACATCCATACAGTCTGTTTATGGATTTCGGATTTAGTGGCTACGGATGATACGAAAGCTTCCGTCAGACCGTTGATGGCGAGAAGTGGGATGTAATAGCAATATGTCGCCAATACATTCCCAGCACCAGAAGAAGTCCATTGCGATCCAGCAACGATCTTCAGGAGTAGTGGAGCGACGGTTGGTCCAATAGCCACCACACATACTGAGAACATGAGGTATGCACGCAGGAGCATGAGCAGCGTTTTTCGTACTTCCATAACACGTTCTTTAGCAGGCTTCCCGTCGACTGAGGAGAGTAGTTTGCCGAACGTGTTGCGGCTGATTTCCTCGATGGGTTGGAGGATAAGTCGGGCGATGAGACCACCATAGTTATTTGCTAGGGCATAGATTCCTTGAGTGCGTGGGGACGCGAGCGAGGCGATTAGGAACGTGTCACCTTGGGTTAGTATGTGCTTGAGGATGGATTGGGTGAAGAAACTGCCGCCGAGTTTCAGGAGGGGCCAGGAGAGGTAGGAGAGGACGAAAGCTGTGGTATCGCTTGGTAAATGTCAGTAACCGAGTGGAGAAAATGGGGTAGAACCTACCTTGAATATATCCTCTTCGCAGAAAGAGAGAACCCTCCACTTGAAGCGATGTTCCAGACGTTCAAGTAATACACGAGTGACAAGGAGACAGCGTACATGCCCTGCCCCAATGCGAAAGGTAGTACTCCGATATCTCGTCCACTCCAAGAAGCCCATATCGCGGAGCCACAGGTGACTAGACACCTTAAAAAGGTAGCTGCTAGTTCCGCTGAAGCACGAATGCCGAACCTTGACTTTTGCTGGACGACAACATAGCAAGGCTCAGCCAGCAGCTCTAAAATGGCTGCCAAGCCATATATCTTCAACGCATCTCTGAAGTATGGTGTTTGCAGAACAATAGGATCACCAGCAGACAGCGTAGAGATATAAAGCCATCCAACCCCAAATGCAAATGCGACACCAAGTAAAACAGAAACATAAGACAAGTTCACGATAGCCTGCGTCCTCCCAGCAGCCGTCCTTGCATCCACGTGACCTCTAGGTATTTCCTTTTCATCCTTCTTCTCTGAAGGTTCGTCTGCGGTATCTGGTTGCCGCTGGATAGCTACACGGAGACTTTCGCGTGCGAAGAAGAGGACGGTAATTGAGTAGACTTCGAGTTGTGTGGAGACGCCGAGGAGTTCGGGAGAAAGGTAGCGGAGGAGAACTTGGTTGACGATGAAAGTGAGGCCACGAGAGCCGAATTGCTGTCCAATGAGAAGAACGGCGCCGACGGCCGATGAAGGTGAAGCTTGAGCTTTTGGTTTCTCTTGGGTCCTGGCTGTAGGATTTACAGATTTGGAAGACATCTGTGGCGGTTGATGGTTGGCAGTGAAGGAAATCCTGATTGGGGTCGCCTGAAGGTGTTTGATGTCCCGCTTTTTTGGAGTGGAAGGTGGCTTCTCAGTTCGCTTGCGACTCTTTTTCCGCAAACATCAACAACGTCCCCAATAATCACGCCCTGTTGTAGCTTAATGCTTGCCAGACGGAAATACTACTAACAAGCTGAAAGCAACACCTCCTTTCGAGGATAAGGTGACATATTCAGGGGTAATCATCGCCTCTGTGCGACGAGAAGCGTGCTAGAAAAACCCTCTGTGTCTTCTAATATCAAACGGGTTCCAGACCCTGAATGCTTCCTATTTAGCCTTGGAGTCGAATCCAAGTTAATGATCTTTGTCTGCCCATTGGAACGTTCTTCTCTTGGTTATTTACTGGTGCGACATTTTGCGGACTAGAATTCCCTAGGCAAATGCATGACTATTCCTCTTCCCATTACAAGTCTCAAAAAAGGTTCTTGGCACTTTGCTGTCATTGTGATTTAAGCTACGTGGAAGACGAGCGCTTTTTACTTCTTCTGCGACAGTAAAACATGCGAAGTCTGCCAATGATGAAGTGGAGGCGTATATCACGTGTGTATTACTAAAATATTCCGTTCAACAGCTTTCTGAGTCCGATCCTCGGATCTTTGGAAAAATAAACTTTGATTCACGAAGATCCATCGGATCTGTGTCCTGTTGCACGTGTGATTGTTAGTGGATTTCCCGACTCGAATTGAACGGTCTTGGCGATCGATTTTATCCACAACAACCTCCAACTCTTTTGACATAATTTCGAAGACCTAACGCCTTAGATTTGGCACTAGACATTGTTTAAATTATAATTCACAGCACAACACCACACAGCAGTATCACCACACATCATAGCATACCTTGAATATGGGTTCTACAGAACCACCAGTGTAACTCTCCGCACACCGCTCAATTACCATTCTGACCGCATTCCATAGTTTCCCTCCTGTCAGGGCTTGCATCTTTGACATGGATGGATTGCTAATAAATACGGTATGGTCCTTTTCATGGTCGCACAGAAAAATTGCTTATTGTGAACAGGAAGACATATACTTGGCTTGTTCAAATGAGCTCTTGGCGAGATATGGCCGTCCAAACTTGCCCTGGAGTGTAAAGGCACAATTCATGGGCGTTCCAGGCTCATCTACGGGTGGTCCATTTTTCGAATGGGCCCAGCTTCCTATATCTCGAGAGCAATTCACCAAGGAGCAAAAAGAGATTCAGCGCACACGATTCCCCCAATGCAAGCCGCTACCTGGCGTCAAAGATCTCCTGTCGCACCTGGAGAAAGCGTACAACACGAATGGCCAGAAGGTTCACTTTGCTATGGCATCAAGTACAACTAAGGAGAACTTCGACCTGAAAGCCCAGAGCACCGAAACTAGTGAAATTTATAAACTCTTTCCCGACAATCGACGAGTCCTAGCAGGTGATCCACGGGTGAAAGAAGGGAGAGGAAAGCCGGCACCGGATATCTTCCTGATGGCGCTGCAGACTATCAATGAGAGTCTTCCAGAAGGTGAAAATCCCATCACACCGGACGAGTGCCTAGTGTTTGAGGATGCAGTGCCTGGAGTTGAAGCTGGACGGAGAGCGAAGATGAGGGTTGTGTGGGTTCCGCATCCTGAGCTCGCGTCTGAGTTTAAGGGGAGAGAAGATCATGTTCTTGCTGGCAGGATTGGACTGGTTCCAATTGGCGATGAGTGGCAGTTGGGTGAGATTGGGGATGGATGGGGCGTTCGACTGGCGAGCTTGGAGAAGTTTCCGTACGAGAACTACGGAATTCGGGTCTAGTTTGTTGGAATGACTAGATCCAATTGCCCTTTTGTGAGCATAAAGGTACCTCAATTCTGATAGAGAGTAGACATAGATAGAATGCATGGCTTTGATCAAGTGACCAGCTTCGATCCCAAAGTTTGATTCATCGACTGACAATAGTTGAAGCCCTTGTAATTCGCGGCTATAATCGAGCATGTAATCTGGGTAGATATTTGACCTGAATATCTGCCTACGACATTCTCTTCAGCCACAGTCACTGAAGTGTCAGCCTCACAGTCCGTAGTTGAGGCTTTGTCTCTAAGCCCCCTTTTAGCGAGTATTTCAACCGTCACTTTACGTCAACTTAAGCGAGCCCGCTATCACCATAAGTCAACGTTCAGCCACCTTCGATCCCAGCATTTTCCAGAATACTTACATCAGTCAGTGCTCATGATGGCCATCATATCTTCTGTAAAATCCTTCTCTTTAAAGCTCAGTCGGAGACCTAGGAATTCAACTAGACAGGATCCAACCAACGGCTTATCACCGCTCAAGCCTGTAGTGTTACCTAGAGTGAATCCCGATCATCAAGCCGCTCTCTCAGAGCAAGGATGGACAGCAGTTGGGCTAGATAAAAAACCAACAGATGCTCTACATAGCAGCTATCAAGAACTTTTCCGAGCAAGCCAGGATTTCTTCGATCTGCCAGATGAGTACAAACAGACTTTTAAAACTCAGCATGGAAGTGAAGAAGGTTGGAGTCGTGTGGAAGGAGAGAAAGAATTCATTACGCTTCGGACAATCCAAAATACCCCTGATGTGCTGAAAGAAGCCGTTTCAAAATACTGGGAAGAGGCTGGTGCCCTTCTGAATGAGACTCTGGGAAGGGTAGCGGAGAGTTTGGATTTACCGGCTGAGGCTTTGACAGTTTACTCTGAGCCCTGCGCGAAGCTTGGAGAACAAGAAACGGCAACAATGCTGCGTCTTTTCAGGTACGAAGGATTCGAAGGAATGCAGAGTAAGGTCGTGGCAGAACGTAAGAACACCGAGTCAATTCCCATCATTACCCGTGGCTGACCTGGAATTACAGCTCACGCGGATCTTGGTCTTTTGAGCTTTGTCATCGGTGATAAACCTGGCCTAGAAGTCATGGACAAGCGAGTAAATTTCTGGTTTCCAATTGAGCAGAGTTATGAGTCGCCAAAAGGAAGCCTTCTTGTTGGTCGTCAGCTCGAGCGGTTGTCGAATGCTCGATACTGTGCTGGTGGTCATCGAGTAAAGTCATACCCGAATTCTATCCCAAACTCCAAAGCGTCTTCGGACCCCGGCAACAATTGGAGGCATTCGATCGTCTTTGTTATGCGAGCTCATCTACCGGTACCAATAAATACTGACGACCTGACGACTGAGATCACTGGACCGTTTTTGAAGCCTCTAAAGGGTGTCACAGCTCAAGAATTCTTTGATGAAATCCATTCGGCTCACTTCAATATCAACACCGGTTTGGAAGAGAGAGAACATCAGAGAATGAGATTAGCTGAGCAGGAGAAATATTCTGCAACTGGGAAGTGAGTGAAGGCTGGTGTTGAAGGCAATAAGAGTTGAATGTCGGATGATAAGCCACAATAATCTATTGTAGATAGATCCTTGTTTCTCGACCGAGAATATTGGCATTGATTCTAGAAGCTGCTGAATGTGAGGTTGATCGCTTGGGCTTTGAAGGCAGGGAGACAATCTTTGTTGTTTGCTGATGTGTATTTCGCTGGAAAGGCTTTGTAATGTTCGTATATTTGAGGGCATTTGCAAGCTGTATTAGCAAACAACCATTGACGCTGTGTCAAGGCTATTTGTGCCATGAAATCGAGACAAAATCGACAAACATGCAATCCTAGTATTCGTATGTGAAAAATTATACGTACTGCTCAAATGCTGACAGCATGAACAGCGAACAACAGTTGACTTTGATCTTATCTATAGCTCGGAAGGTATGCATATACTGAAGTGCCAGTGCAAACCTCCTCCACTGACCGACAGTCAGATCAAAGGGACGATGTACTGCTCTTGAAGATAGCCAACTGGATCAAGCAAGCGGAGTACATCTCCCGCCTGCGGACGTCGCTCAAAGTCTCAAGAATGAGATTGAATACTGGGCAGAATGCAAAGTCATGATCTAATTTCACAAGTCGTTACAGTGATTTTGAGCTGGATCCCACATCTTGACAAGGGTATTGTGGAGGCTACATGAACAGAACCAAAATGAAAGAACAAAGCTCCCAAAGCTCTGATCATGAGGTTAAGTTCCAAGCGGTATGCAATTAACATAATATCGGATAGCTGGTCAGCGGAAGAGTGGCAAATTGAACGTATACTAACTCTTATTCTTGCTGAGGTGTCTCGTTGGATTTACAATGTAGTCAATAGTTTTGCTGTTCTTGGCAAAACGGGAATTAACTGCTGTTCGTTGCCGCCTACCTCAAACGGACTAGCGTTCGTTCTAGCGACTAAGAACAGCCGTTAGTTAGTCAGATTTCTTGCTAAACGGGTACGTTTTACCTGTTTTAGCTAGGTCCCCTACTATAGGCCGCAGCTAGCGTAAGTACTTAAAACCTAAAAGAAATCAAGTTCAAGTAGAGACTCTAGAGTATATAGCTTAAGTAATTCTTATTATAATTATATTAAATTAAGTTTAATTAAAAGCTATAATAGAAAGCTTTTATTTACTGTCTTATTTATAATTTTTAGCTGCGTAGTTATATTGTAATTCCTACTTGAAGTTGTCTTAATTCTTACTAGTGTTTTATAATAATATCTTAATTTTACCTTATTAAAAATGGCTCCCTTAATAGCTCGTTGTTATGTAAATAACACCTCTAATACCTCTAACACGTTAAATAACACTTTAATACCACAAAGATAACGTGGCTATTAAGTTTAGCTACTATTCAGCTGTCTGCTAGCTGAAAACGATACTATACCTTTAGTTCCTATTAATTTAGACCCTATAACACGTCGTACTATATCAGAGGCTCCTACAGCTCTAGAACCACCTTTAAAGCTTAGGAAACGATAAGCGTGGATATTTCAGTATATACTAAGTAAAGATATTGAGGAGAAGTATTATAAAGACTCGGAGATTATAGGTAAAGAGTAATAGCGCTGTGCCTACTGTAGTTAATCTTACCTAATAAGCAGTGGAACTAGGTCTGCGGAGCTCTATTTAATTACTTATAGCTTAAAGAAAAGTGATCCCCGAGGCATAGCTATTACTTTCAGTGACTCTACACGTTAAATACCTCTTAGCTCTAGCTTTAAATAATAGCTAGAAATAGGGGAGGAGCTTTAATTTAAGCGGAGGAATATAGGGACTACAAATAGATAGAGTATTAACCCTAACTAGCTAGAGCTACTTTACATAAGGTTTAATTGTTATGAACCCCTTAGCGCTACGGTTTAGTTAGCACCTATATAATAATAAAACTATTAGTAGTACTATAGGGGTATTAGTACTAACGAGAGAGTAGTACTATCGATAGGGTAGTACTAGCTAGGGAATAATATAAAGCAATCGAGTAGTACTACTATATACTTATGCTTTAGTAGTAATAGTTACTTAGATTATAGTAAATAATAGGTTATATAATAGATCCTTAGATCCTTAGATCCTCTTATAAGAAAATAGATCTAAGGATCTAAGGATCTAGTATCTTAAGGGATTTAAGGCGAATAAAAGTTCTATATAAGACTAGTATATCTACTATTAGATAAGAGCTTTATACTTAACTTTAAATAGTATTCTAATACTTAGTAACTATCTTCCTATCTATATAATATACTTACCTCTCGATTATTAGAGATTAACTATAGCTTTCTATATTTATAGCGAGTAAATACCGGACTATTATACTTTAAGTACCTTCTTATTAGAGGTACTAACTTATAAAGATAATATATCCTTTATTAAAGGATCATCGAATAACTACTTAGCTCTTACTAAGGTCTTCGACTTAAAGAATATACTTAAGATCACTACCTCGGATCTTTATAATAGAGACTGATCTAAGCTTAGAGTATATCTCACGTAAGTTAAGCTTTATACAGGCTTTAACAGTTACTAGTTTACTATAAAGACTAATAAAGTCCTTTAGGCTTTATCCTTTCTCTAAGGATCTACTTTTAACTAGATTAAGACTTTTCTCTTAGATTATATTTAGAACTAAACTAAGGATAGGAGAGTCTCTATAGTAATAACTAAGGAATCTTAGAAGATCTTTATAATCTTCAAAGGTTTTAAGTATAAGATTAACTATATCTTTAGTAATATTAATTAGAACTATATTACTAAACAGAATATCTAGAACCTAAAGTAGGTTAAGTTAGCAACTATATATACTACTACTTTCTAGTAATTTATAAATTAGACTAGCTAGAATAATAACGCCCTTCGGGTATAGTACTATAAGAGGTTAAAGGATAAAGTGAAAGATAAGATAGTAAGATTAGACGCGCCTACTAATTTATAAGAACTTATTAAGATAGCTATTAAGATTAACAACTGAAATTATAAGAGAGCACTTAAGAAAAAAAGCTAATACTACTCCGGAATATATATATACTAAGGAAAAAGAGGTAATAATAAGAAATTATTCTACCCTCGGGAAATAGAACTTAATATAATATTCCGGAAGCTAAGTTATTAAGGAAAGCCGCGTAATAGCGAGCTATCTAAGAAAGTTATAAGCGAGTAATAAGAAAAGAAGCTATACTTTAAGTATAGCCTCCCTAGTTATATAGCTAGCTCTTATTAATAAAAGAAGTTATAAATAGATAAGAAATATACTAATATAATAAGATATAGCTCTTATAATAAACTAATATAATAACTCGCTGCGATATATCGATATATAACTATAGATAAGCTTAAGGAGAATTATATTTATACTTAGTTAGGCGATTCTAATAATAGTAAGTAAGATTCCGTGAGTGTTATAAATTAGCTTAAGTAAACTATTATTAGCACGCCCCCTAAGGATTATATATATTAAGATAATAATAACTCTAGGCTAGATAATAATATAGAGCTAATACTAAGTAATAGTAAGAAGGAAGCTTAGGAACCTGATTAGACTTTAGAACTAGAGCTACCTTAACCTGAACTCTTAGGACTAAGAGTAAGTAAAACTTAAGAAGTTACTTAAAGAGAAGAGAGCTTATATCAGGTTAGCTATAATATTCACTACTAAACTAATATAGCTACTAGGGTTACTTATTAAGAACTAGGCCTTATTAGCTTAAGGGGTCTACCGTAAGAGGTAAGGTATGAAGTAGTCTACCGGGACTATAAATATATCAGATAGAGAATAGTTAGTAGCTAAGAAAGATTAACGACTTTTATATAGCACTTACTACTCTAGAATACTATTATTCTTAACACTAGCGCGCTACTAGAGGTAAGCGAGGAATAGGAAATTATAGCTAAGAATTAATATAATAGGATATAGGTTCATATTAATAATAATAGCCGGTATTATTATAAGATATATAACTTAGTAACTTATACTAAACTCGGAATAGGATTTATATATAAAGTTAGCTTAAGCTATAGTAATCGAAGGGTATAGGAGAATATCCTTGACTATAGTATATATTAGAAATATTTCTATATATAGTAACTTGCCGCTATTAGAGATAAGTATCTTATATTAGAAGTAAAAATTAAAGGGATTAAGCTTTAGGTAATAGTAGACTCTAAGGTATAAGGGAACTTTATATCTCTTACTATTATACTTAAGTACTACTTATTAACTAAAGTAAAGGATAAGGGATATTATCTAGTACTAGCGAATAGTAAAGTCGCTTCTAATAAACTAATCGAGGTCTAGATTACTCTAGTCTATATAAGTATCGCCGGATACTCTGAAATAATCTAATTCGATATTATTAGGATTAGAAAGTATAATATTATCCTAGGGTTACTATAGATAGAAAAGTATAATTCTATTATTAATTAGTAGATAAAAAAACTTAAGTTTAGTTATTACTAAGACTACTATTATTTACCGGGAATAGAAGTAGTAAGTATTTAAGAGGTTAGCACTACTTCTAAGGAAAAGCTCGGATACTAAGATAAGGGTCTACTAATAAAGGATATACTATTAGTATATAAGAAGTTTATAGTACTATTTAAGGAGGAATAAGGTATTAAAGCCTTACTAAAACACTAGGACTATAATTATTAGATTAAGTTAGAACTAGGTACTAAACTAATATTCTAACTACTTAGGGAATATTCCGTAATAGACTTAATAATAATTAAGTAATATATTAATGAAAACTTAGTAAAGGGATTTATCTAAGAGTCTAAATCTCTATAAGGGAGTAATATCTTATTTATAAAGAAGAAAAATAAAGGATAACAAATATATATCAACTACTATTAATTAAATAATACTATAAAGAAGGATTATTATATATTACTATTAGCTAAGGAGCTATAAGATAGACTCATTAGAGCTAAGATTTTCACTTAGCTTAACTTATAAGAAGTATATAACCTTATTAGGATAGCTAAGGGAGAAGAAGAAAAGATAGTATTTCATACTTATTTTAGTTATTACGAGTATATAGTTATACCCTTTAGCTTAACTAATATACTAGCTATATTTCAGTATCTAATTAATAATATTTTATAGCCTTACTTAGATATAATATATATATGCTATTTAGATAATATACTAGTCTACTCTAAATCAGAGGAGTAATATATAAAGGATATTATAGCTATTCTCTAGAGACTAGAGGACGCCTACTTATTACTTAAACTAAAGAAGTGTAACTTTCATATAGATAAAGTTATTTTTCTAAGCTATATAATTATTACTATAGGATTAGCTATAGATCCTAAAAAGATTAAAGTAATTATTAAGTAAATAAGGCTTATAAATATTAAAAAAGTATAATTATTCCTCGGGTTTACTAACTTCTATAAGCGATTTATTAAAGACTACTTAAAGATTACTAGGCTACTTACAGAGTTAACTTATAAGAATAAGGAATTCTACTAGTCTAATAGCATATAAAAGGCGTTTAAGGTACTTAAAGTAGCTTTTATCACGGAACTAGTACTTATTTCCTTTACCCTTAATAAAGAAATATATATAGAGATAGATTCT